TTCAATTTTCCTTATCCACTCCTTCCAGCTCTATCTTTGGTCATTTGCACATTTGTATGCTTAATAGGATTAAGTTCTCAAAAAGGGATTTAAACAAGATGATTAGTTTATTGGTACTCGTATCTAGCCACACATACACATGCACTTCCACAGGAGCCAGGAGTTTGGCTGACCTGGGAAGAATCTCGTGGCGTTAATTCCCATACAAAGAGATTCAGAAACTGTACAACAGTGAGCAACAGTGTGTGTGTCCGGGGTGAGAGTGAAAGAACAGGGTGAAGGGACGAGGGGTGCATGTGTGAGAATTGAGTGCAGCTCTTTCATGGCCAGGTCTTCTTAGACACGGAGGGTGTCAAAAGCCCCACTCACTCTTAAAAGGACTCTTTAGAAAATCAGCACTAAGCTCTTAACACTGGAGACCTGACTCTATCAGGCACACACATACACACACTCACATCTTTGGCCACCAGAGGTGAGAAAAACACAGAGAGAGGAGGGTGGGAGGATGTGGAAAACTTCACCAGACAAGCTTTAAAGTCCCAGCACAGATCTGTGTTGACTATTTTAAAGATTTTGTTCATGAAAGCCCTTAAATAAAAAGCCAACGGCGTTAAGCAGTGCATCAAAGGTCTGGTCAGAGTGGACGCGATGGGTTTGTTTAATGTGTTTAACCTCAGTCTGCGTTTTGCTTTGATCAATTGTTCCTCTTTTCACCTCTGCTGAAAACATTTCTTAATGTTTTATGTTAGCCAAGAAAAACTGAAAACTACTGATATACTGAATCAAATTACTTATATCCTAAGTGATTTAATCCTCTTATGGAATACCATTTAAAAGCATTAAGATTCCTTATCCACATTTTGTCATGTTCATATTAATTAATTACCATACATGTATTGTTCAAACAATGTAACAAACTAAGATAGTGTGGTTTACAATTGCAAAGGAGAAAATATCAGGCTTAACAATTTATATAAAAATCTAATCTGGAAACTTTTATGTGCATTTGTGTTTACTCCCCTTCCTAATATGGTACCCCCAATAAAGCCCAGTCTATTTCTTATTTCTTTACTATTGGAGGGTCCTACTTTTTATGGATTTGGATTACTTTTATTAAGCCTTTAAAAGATTTTAAATTGAGCCAATTTTTGTTATAAATCTGGACAGAAATGAAATCTCTGCCTGCACCTCTACATCTATAAACCTGCTATAAAACCTCCTATGCTGAAAATGTCAGCTGTCATGGATTTATTGAAAACATTTTGTTTGTTTTTTTTTAAAAGGACTTTTGTCTTCGCTCTCAGACAGTTTTTAACTTAGCTGCCTGATAGAGTTCCTGTGTGGCTCTAATAACTTTGGCATCTTTCAAACACACACTCATACATCCTGGGCTCAGCTGGAGCCTCTTTTAATGAAGCCAACCTCCCCGCACAGGCACAGGAGCAGAGGTGAGGGGTTAAATCTTGGGAAGTCCAAATACAAATCTATTTTGGGGGAAAAGAAGAGAGATGTGGATGAAAAGGAAGAGGTTAAGGGGAAGAACTAACTAAGAAAGGGGGAAGACAGCAGTGGGCCGAACATTTAGCAGGAATCAGGTTTCTTTGAGATGGAAAATCCTCCCTTAAGTTCATAAAAACTCAATTTCCTAGTTGAAGTGAAACCTGCTACCCACTCTCCATCTGTGGTGATGAAAGGAGGTTAGGGTGACCGTCTGCAGGTCATCAGGAAGTGAATGTACTTCCACTCAGAAGATTGGCTTTAAGCATTTAAACTCCTGTTAGCGTGGAAATGTGATGTTTCTGTGATTTCGGGTAGAAAGTGAAGTTCTCAGATGGGATTTTAAAACAGCCGTTCACAGCTTTGCTCATTCTAAATGTTGGATACTTTCTGGCGCATGGGGTGAACAGGGAACATCATCCCCTGGTTTTATAAAATACTGTTAACAAGATATCCACACAAACTGATGTCTTATTGATTTGTTTGTTGTTTGTCGCATCACATGTTGAAAGCTTCAGGAAAAGAGACATCCACTAGTATTTACAGTTAGTAACAATTAAAATTAAATGAAAAAAACTAAACAGATAAACTGAGCAAAGAATAAAAACATTAAGCAAAAATATTTAGGAAACAGTAAGAGTAATGAACTACAAAAACAGATTAATGGGTGTAAAGTAAATATATTCAAAATATGAGCCACCAGAATGTAAAATACTAATAAAAAGATTTTTTTCCAGAACCTGGAGATGGTGTTAAAGGTGTAAAGTGCTTTTAACTAAAAAAAAATATTCTCTTAAAGCTAAAAAGCTTCTGAAAGTCTATGACAGCTTATAGTTTTTGGTTGTGATCCCAATTTATCAGCTGCCCCACTCTGACCCCCTTTCCAAGACCTTCTAAAAGTATCTTTGTATTAATGTTCAGCTCGAGGTAAATTATTGTTTGAGTTCCCTTACATAGATTCTTTAATAATCTTTGGGAACAACAATATTTGAGGGTTGAAACACAATGTGTACTTTTTAAATCAAACTAACATTCTGGAAACTTTTTGTACACAAAACTGATGGGAGATAGCAAAGAAATGCAATGAATACTGGAATCCACTGACCTGAAACCCTTCATCTGTTTCCATAAATCTAAAATTTCCTCTTTATTCCTTCCCAGCAGCACTGATTTGGCTTTTTTTTTGTTTCACAAGTCTCCTCTTTAAATGGAAACTGATTTTCATAGTCTGTGAAAGCATTAATTTTCCTTTTAAAGGTTGATTTTAGAGAACAAGGAAACAACTACTTAGAGCTCTGAGGCTTTTTGACCTCAGTGTTTTCTTTTCTTTTTTTTAGCACAAAATTGCCAGTTTAAATAAAGTTTGTAGCAGGAGGTAGGAAAAGAAGAAGGCAGATTAAAAGTTACCTGCAGTGCTGATTATATGACTGCAGCATGAGGAATGTGAGGAATGTGGATAAGCATTAGCTGGTAGTTGATTTCTATTGTTTGAGGCCACAGACAAGGTCAAGAGCCGGAAGGTCAACAGTGAAGGGTTATGTTGTCTGTCAGGTGATGGCTGAATGATAACAGAAAAATACATAACCAACATGTCTCATTCAGCATATCATAGTATTTTCAGAAATCAAAAAACTCTAAAAACTTTTTTCTGATGGTGGACTTCACACACTCCTGTGTTCCCTCAACTACAAACAAAATAACATCTTTCTTATGGCTGTTTGGAACATATTGCTGGCAGTATTATGCCGTGGATGTGTTTCTTTTTCTTTCCTGCAGGGATAAGGAAGGTTCAGGATGGATGAGGTTAAATACAGGGCAATTGTGAAAGAAAAAAGTTTTGGAGGAAGCACTGCAAAAATTGAAATCTACATAAGTCATTTTTTCTTTAATTAAGGGCATTTTTTTCTTGAATTGAGGAGGAAAGTGAGACATTTTGCCAACGGAACGAGACAATTTACACTTCAGATAAAAAAAAAAACATTTGCCTTGTCCTATTTGAAGTGCATATTATCTATTTATCGTATTCTAAGAGTGAAATAGTCATCCCATTGGCAAACTGTCTCATTTACCTACTCAAATTAAAGGTAAATACACTTAATTTAAGACATTTTTACTTATTTCTAGATCATTTTCCCAGTGAAGATGTGACAACTGGACCCTAAATATAAACTGTTAGAAAAGTTCAGTCATGGTTCAGACCTAAATCCAACCGGAACATTTCAGGAGCACTTAAATTCTGGTTTTGGAATTCCTTTTCAATCCAATTTGACAGTTTTGAGGCATTTTGTACAGAAGATGGTTGGAAATATCAAAGCTGGTGGACTTTATAGGGCTTTGACTCAATAGATCTGTATTACTTTCTTTTAATAGATGTTGAGCGGTTTGCTTGTTTTTTTAAGATAATCACAACCACCTATGAGTCAGTCACATAAAAGCCTTATGAGACATTCTGTTCCCAAACAATATACAAGAATTTCAAAGAATCAAAATATTTATTTGCAAGGCACTGTACTAACACAATACTGGATGTGCTCTCTTCATCCTCTGACATGGGAGCTGGCTCAGAGCTCGTCTGCCTGGCTGTGGCTTTCCTGGAAGGGGCCGCCTGTGGAGCTGGTTGACGGTTGCCTTTTTTATCTCTGCTTCTGCTACCCCAGTCGGCCTCGGCCGCTCACACTGATTCTGATTCTGCTGGAGGTTTCTTCCTGTTAAAAGGGAGTTTTCCTCTTCACTGTCGCTACAAGCATGCTTAGTGTGATGAATTGCATTTGAGTCAATGAGTCGACTTAATCAGCTAGTTTTCCTTAGAAAGAAAACTTTGAACCAGTCTGACTATATGATTTGGTAGAATTTTCTCTTTAAAGTACCTTAAGATGACATCTTTTGTGTATTGGTGCTATATAAATACACTGAATTGAATTGAATTGAATACACTAGAGTCATTTTTCTCTGCAAGGGCAACTGCTTCTATGTTTAAGGGAATATTTTCTTTTGTGCAGGCTACAGCTTAGTTAAAGAGGCTGAATGTTCAATCTCGTAAAGCCCAACGCTCCTGGTCACACAAACTGACATCAATCACTTACTCCTTAAAAGCAGGGGATGGAAATGGTTGCAAAGATTAGTGATGAGAGAAGAAGCTAGAAACCATGAGGGAAGCGGAGGTCAGCAGTGCCCCCTACAGTTAGAATTAAAGCCTCCTCCTACCTGCCTCACGGATGCCAAAAGGCCACAGTTGAGTAGCAGCTGGCTGTAGAGACACGGACACTGAGATAAACAGAGACAGATGAGTGTAGTTTGTGAAGTGAGGGGTCTCTGCGGAACGACCTCAATTTTGCCAATGATCTTTCTGGCTCTGATGTTCCCCTGCTGCATTTTGGTGATTACATCAAGTACTTGTGCTTCAAAGCAAGTGGCTCTGTGACAGCTTGACTAAGCTGCCTGCCAAATAATTTCACTGAACGCCCCCCCTCCACCCTTCCTCTCCTCTCTTTGTCTTTGTCCAGTGACCTGAGTGAAAACCAGATCCAGGGGATTCCAAGGAAAGCCTTCAGGGGAGCTGTGGAAATCAAAAACCTGTAAGTTCCACTTTCACAACCATACTGTCAGTGCTTACACATCTGTAACTTGCTCCTCACCGTGTCAGCTTATGTGCGCGGCGCTCACTCGACCATGCATCAATATTTCATTGTGTTAAATGTCATGTGCCTCCTGCTTGCCGTATTGACTGGCACCCGCTGCTCGTCAGCAGCGATATGTATGTGTGTGTGTTGCCTCACTGGCATTTTGCAGTTTTCTTTGTTTAGACTCACTTATAGTCATAATCATTTTTTTTCACTCAATTCACAACAGGACTTCTATAAATATTGATCCCTCCACCGATTCACTACTTCCTGGACTTTTTTACACCACCACATCAGATAATTTTCTCGAAATGTCGTGCAATTATTGTTAAAGGACAGGGAATTATGCATGTGTGTCAGAGTGCTGGTGACAGCTGATTATTTACAGTTCCTGTGTCTGTACAATTAAATTGTTTCAGCAAAGGTTTTTTGAGCAAAGAGAGAGAGGTGGTAAATGCTAAAGTCTACTACATAAAGAGTAAATGTCGTATTGAAGAGAGCAGGAAACATAAATAGATGCAGAGACAGCTATATTACAACCAGGAAGAGCCCAATAGAAAGGAGGTGAAGGGAGCATAGACATCATTTGGACTTTTTGTCTTACCTGTCATTGTGTTTGCAGACAGTTGGACTACAACCACATTAGTTGCATTGAAGATGGAGCCTTCAGGGCGTTACGTGACCTGGAAGTGCTGTGAGTACCTGTTTCCTCAGTCATCTTACTTTTCTACCTTTTACCATTTCTTCTGTTTTTTTCCTCTTCACCATAAGAAATGACAAAGAGACTTTGATCAGCAACACTAACAATGCTGAGATACAGAGCAACTAATATTCTCCTTGACCTTTTAGGCACTGCAGAGCCTCTGCAGCAGCTTTAAAGGAGAGTTTTATATTGTTTCAGCTGTGGCTTTCCTATTTCTTTTTATGTATAATGAAGTTAGTTTTTTTCATGATATGTTAACTGCAGACTTAAATAGGGCTGGGCAATTAATTTCCTTTGCAATTTAATTGCAATTTAACAAAATGCACTTTTCAAATCGAAGGTGCATTAAAATGTGGTCACGTTACATTTAACAAGTCTAAGAGACTAATTTTTCTTCACACCAGCCCTTTGGTTGGTTGTAATGTTTGAAATGAGTTTGCTGCCACAAAAAAGCGAAGAGGAAAAACCCTGCGAGCAAACCGATCTATGCAGGCAAGTAGAAGGAAGCCATTTCCAAACAAAGTTACAAAGCTAAAGAAAACACTAAAGTTCTGCAACAATTGACTCTGGACAAGCAAGCTTTAACGGTCATGTAAAATCTACAACCCTGGAGTGACACTTGTGCTTGTGCTTAGTGCAAAGGAAATTGAAAATAAAATCGCAATATTTGTAAAAAATAAAATAACAATTTAGATTGTTGGCAGAATCTTTCAGCCCTAGCGCTAAATCATTTTGTGATATCCTGCACCTTTCTCTGAATTTCCTTAAATTTGGGGCTTCTGGATTCTTGTTACACAATGAGAAAATGAAGAAAAATTAAGCTGTTGTCCCAAAAAACTGTTCAGAAATAATTGAAAGCTACTGCTCAACCTTGAAGAAATTAGATTCCTATTGTCAGAAAGCAGCAGATAAAGGAATACGATTTAAGTTTACACTTATGTATGATGTATGTTTAACTTTAGCACTCCATTCTGACTAACAGAACTATGTAAAGCTCTTTTACTGTTTCGGCAGAGGTGAATATGATGGATAGCTAGGTAGAGCTAATTCATCCAGGTCTTCCTCAACCGCCAACTGAACAAAGATGTAAAAGGTTATTTTCTTATGAGGATTTTGCTGTTTCACTGCATTCAGGATTGCATGTAGATGAGCATGTTGTATATTCTGCTCTTGTCTCTTTAGCACTCTGAACAATAACAACATCAGCCGACTGTCTGTGGCCAGTTTTAACCACATGCCAAAGCTCAGGACCTTGTAAGTGGCATAGCTTCATATTTGACACACAACATGATAATCTGGAAAGACATTCCTCTCATCCGTACTTATTTAAATATTTTTTAATCCTCCTTTGCCTCCCCACTCCTGTCTCCTCCAATCATTTCCATTATTTGCCCTCTCTCTATCTGTGTGTCCCCCTACGATCACCAAACACATCCCCTCCCCTCATCCTCACTTCTCCCCTCCCTTCCGCTTCACCTCTGCCCAGCCGCCTTCACTCCAACAACTTGCAGTGCGACTGCCATGTAGCCTGGTTGTCCGAGTGGTTACGACAGCGCCCCCGCCTGGGCCTCTACACACAGTGCATGGCTCCTCCTCACTTGCGAGGGCACAATGTGGCTGAGGTGCAGAAGAAGGAGTTTGTGTGCACAGGTAGGTTGACCTTACTTTGGTTTCCTTCTGTGGCTTCTACCTCTTCTTACTCTTTTACATCAGAAAACATTTTTGTTCCTTTCACTGTGTTTTTGCTCATGCCTGTCAAGATGCTGAGGAAGGTAAGTTTTCCCCATGATTTGCAGGGCTTTGCAGGAAAGTCATGAATAAAATGACAGCACAGAACGACAAGGTCACATAAACAGACAGGATATCTTTGAGTCTTATGTCTCTCTTTGAATTCTTTGTTCTTCTGAATCTTTTGGCCATTTTGTATTTACATGAAGCATTAATATCAACTACCCAGTGATAATCCAGGGTCCTTGTCTCTGCGTAGGTCATCAGTCGTCATCGTCTTCCTCCTGCAGTGTGTTACAGTGCCCAGAGTCCTGCACCTGCAGTAACAACATTGTGGACTGCAGAGGGAAGGGTCTGACAGAAATACCCACCAACCTGCCTGAAACCATTACTGAGATGTAAGACATGCAGATAAAGTACACACACATCTGCTTCGCTCAACACACATACTGCACTCATTCAGACACACTGGGTGCAGTGATATTTCTCTTGCTCCTTTTATTGCGCGTCCCTCTGTTTCCCTTCTTTGTGTTCTACCACCTTTCTCTTTCACTGCTGCTGTTTGTCTTTGTGCAGTGAAATAAAAGCACACATCTGTGAAATGAGAAAGCTTGGTCATGCAGTGCATTCCTGCTAAAGGAAACAGCAAGAACAAAGAAAGAAACGGGGAGAATAAAGGAGCTTGGAGATTAATCTGAGCTCTAAAGAAACCTATATTTCTACCTGAGAATTAGATGGGGTGAACTTGAAGAGCCTGCCTGCTTCTACAAAATGGAAAAAAAGAGTGATATAAAATTCCCTCATGTAATTATTTTGTAAGGCTGAAGTAACTGAATTTGTTTAAAAAGTGATGTGATAAATCAGAAAGTAAAATTTGACCTTAAAAAAGAAATACTTTGATAAAAAATGTGATAAAATATTTTGATTACAATTTTTTTAGTGTAATTGAAATTAAGCAATTATTTACCATGGCAACATTTAAAGCATAGGTGGTCTGTAAAGAACAGAAACATCAAACGGTTGGCTTAAGGGAAGGGCTTCACATTGAAATGACCTTTGCCCTTATTGGGTTCATTCCTTCTTTTTGTCCTTCATACATGTGCCGCCTGGTGCGGTTCTTCAGGAAATGACTGGGCATTAAAAAAAAAATTAAAAAGACAGACCAAAGAGTCAATTGTGTGAGTACTCTCCTAAGTTTGTGTGCCCCTCTGGCTGCGCAAAGGTGAAGGAGGGCAAAAGATTGGCGATATGTGACAGAAAAATGGCTACAGTCATCAAAGGGCCTTATCTGGAAAAGTCCCCCTTAGGCAGAGCCCTTGGGAATGAACAACGGTTTGCATTACAGCATAGATAAGTGTATGATAGGGGAATGTTAATGTCTCATTGCAATGGTCTGAGGGTATGTTTGGTTCCAGACGACTGGAGCAGAACGCCATCAAGGTGATCCCAGCTGGGGCCTTTTCTCCATATAAGAAGCTGCGCAGAATGTGAGTAGAAAAGCTGTTAAGCTGCACTCTGTCAACCATGGATCAAAACTTAATGTTGCAGCAGCATCTGTAGTTGGTTTTGACCTTTTGTTATTCTGCTTTCTTTTGATTACTTTTCTTTTTTTATCACTTTTTTTTGCAGAGATTTGAGTAACAACCAGATCTCAGAACTAGCTTCAGATGCCTTCCAGGGTCTGCGATCCCTTAATTCTTTGTAAGTGTTCTATTTCAGGTTTGATTTTACTTTTAGCTCAGAAATATTGATCAGAAACTATGATTTTCTTTTTATAAATGTTGCTAAAAAAGCTGCATGTTTCTGTGACCAACACTTCATATAAAATTAGCCAAAAACAGGGAAGTTAAGTTAAATATAAGATGGACCTAGAGCTTTCCCAGGTGTTCTCAAACAATAATATTAAGACAGAAGAACTTAGTTTTCAGGTTAATTTTATTAAACCATATGGATGTAAGTCAATACCTGCAGAAACAAAGACATTTGGAACAAAATATCCATATTGGGGAGTGGTGTTCAACTGGTTAGGGCATAGAGCTTGAATCCTGAGGTTGTGAGTTCGAAACCCACTGCCACTCTGGGTCCCTGAGCAAAAAGACCCTTAACCCCACACTGCTCCACGGGCGCTGCAAATGGCAGCCCAGTGCTCCCAAGGGGGATGGGTTACTGTAAATGCAGAGAGTAAATTTTGTTGCTCTGTACTTGTGACAGGGTAATGACATATAAATACATATAAATATATATATATAAAAACCCAGTTCAGTTGTGACTAACATCATGTAAATCCATTTCTAGTCAGATAATGAATATTTTTCCTGCTGTTTGCATATAGAAACATCGCTTTGTGTGTCATTATGACCTACATATTGTTTGCTGTAATTAACAATTTCTTATATGTATTGACTACTTTGACTCTAATACTGCAGAAACCCCACACTTATGTGGTTACAGAATACATATTACTCATATTCTCCATAAATAATTGTGAATCTGAGACATTTTTATTAGAGGAATCTTAAAACAATTATCTTATAGTGAGGGATCAGTGCTTGTCTATGGAACTGCCAGTCTTTAATAATATCTGCACCAAAGCTTTAAAAGGTGAACTTTAAAAAAAATGTCATTGTAATTCTGAATGATGTGTCAGCTTGTGATATGCACCACAACCCAGAGGATTGTTTTAGCAAAGATATATTTTATAGAGAACACATTCTTTAACAGAGGTGCTTGGGGATATGCTTTGACTTTCTTTGCAGTTTATTCTGTTGATATTAAGGAAATCTCTGGATTCTTCTCAAACTGAATTAATTCTGTTTTTGCTGTGTGCAGGGTCCTGTATGGGAACAAAATCACAGAGATTTCCAAGGGACTCTTTGAAGGATTGTTTTCACTGCAGTTGTTGTAAGTGCACACACACCCACACTAATGCACACACTCATAGTTAGGTTCAGTTTAATGGTCACATCTGCATCTCATTGATATTCGGCTGAAAAGTGCTTACCTCAAGCACTGCCACCCGAGAAGAGACATCCTCACTAAAAGCCATCATCTGTGACCTGCAGCGTCTGAATGATTTTTGCTGGAATGATAACAAGATAAGGCTCCTTTTATTTTTTTTTTCTTTCTCAAATACTGTCACTTCTTTGTTTCAGGTTGCTAAATGCTAACAAGATAGCATGTCTGCGTGTGGATGCATTTCAGGACCTTCACAACCTCAATCTGCTCTCTCTATATGACAACAAGCTCCAAACAATTGCAAAGGGGACGTTCTCCTCACTACGAGCAATACAAACCCTGTATGTACTCTCACAAAGACACACAAATATCCTTTTGTTAAACATATTTACCCGATTAAGATTTGCATGATGTTGCTTTCTGTGACACATAAATGTTTCAGATCATTAAAAATATTTCAGGGTCTAATGAAGAAAACCTTGGTTTACTCAGCAAGCAGTTTTCAAATATTGATATCATATAAAAAGTGTAAATAATAGAAATCTTGCTTCTTAGCAGAAACAAACCAAATATCTGCAACAAGCAATAAACATTGTGCATCATTGTATTGGAAAACTGCTCCAATCTTATAACAAGATTGCTTTTTTATTATTCAGCCATCTTGGTGGATTTCCAAGGATTGGCATCATGTTTGACAACCCCCTTTTTTTAAAATCAGATCTAAATCTGTACTAGGCAGCTCCAAAAGTCTTACTTTTTTTTAGCCATTCATAGGTGCTGTTCTGCTTCTTATCACCATCCTGTGTAAATAATATCTGCACATTGTTCCTATACTAGAGAGCAAGAGCTGTCTTCGTTTTCCTTTATAAAAAAAAAACATAATTTTAAAAAAGAATCATTTCATTTTGTATCTAACAAAGTTGTCCTTGGTTAATATTGAATTTTACTTGCTTTAAAATGCATGAATGAAACAAAACAAAAACACCAAAGAAAATTGTAAGAATGAAAATAGTCCTTTACTCCTCCAAATATCAATGGAATTGAATAAACAATTAAGCCGCTTAAAATTAAAAGATCAAGAGTAGCTTATGGCCTCCATCATTATTACAATGTTGTTCATTTAATTTATAACTTTAACATGTTTCTTGAAATATGGTTCTTACTGATTCTTAGGCATATGCTAATCGCCCGTCTCCCTGTTTATCTTATTCTAAAGAAGGGTATAACTTGCAACGCTTCTTCCCACACGCCATCAAATTCTGACATCACCCCTGGTTATGTGATAATAATACATTATGTCCCTCCCACTTTAAGATGCATAGACCATACAATGGCATTAAAACCTGTTGTCATTGTCACGTTCAATTGGTACTTAGTTTTTGATTGATTCACTGTCCATGGTGCTGAACTAGCACACTGTTTTACAGTAACCATGTCTTCTGTTATTTTGCCTTGAAATTCTTGCTAACCTACATAGAGGCTCAAGTTAATATATCAGATAGCTTTATTTTCAGAAAGAAGCTTAAATGGACCCAAAACAAGACAATTAACAGCTAAAGAAAACAAAAAAAAAAAATAATGTTTTGCATTTGAATGAATACTTTGGTTCTAAAGCACACACCTTGTGGTTTGCCTGCTGCAAGCTCCGAAAGCACAGACAGCTTTATGGTCTCTAGGGATGGAAGACCATGATGTAAATAATAAAGTGATCTGCAAAATAGCTTTTTGTGGTTGCATGACTATTGTGGAGTTGTGATTAGTATTTTCAGATACTGTCCTATTCTTATGGCATTAATTCCAGAAAAGTAATCTCAGTTTAATGGAGAAATCATTTTAAATTTAATAAATGTCACAGTACAGATGAATGACCTGTTAAAATCCTTCTGAGCCAGATCTAAAAACTTGAAATCATAGCCCAGTACAAGTTTTATTTATTTAAATGTTGTATTTTGCCTACAGTCTGTGTGTCCTTCTTTTCAATCTTTGTATCCTTCCTTTTTTACGTTCCTTGATTCCTAACTTCCTTTTACCTCTCCCTTCTTCCTTTGTTTTGCCCTACCTCCATATATTAATTTTGTTTCTTTTTCTCTTCCATCCCGCTTTCCTACTATACCTCAGTTTCCTCTTCATTTCCTTTCTTTCTTTGAGTCCTTTAATATGTGAACAGATATGTGAACCTTCTGTTCATTACATTATGCGTAAAGGGAGTAAAGGTTGTATTTTTGGTTAGAAATGGTTTTGAATAGTATTATGGAAATACATTTTATTTTAGAATAAAACACCCAACCATTTGTAATTCTTTCTGTATATCTCAAAGCAACAGACTCTAGATCAGTCAGATCTTTTTTTAGGAACCAATTTTCAAGATTTGATTTGTTTTAGAATGGCCCCTCCTTTCAGTAACAACTTGATTTTTTTATAAGATTATTTTAGTAATTTGCTTAAGTGCCTTCACTCTGAGTGTTGTATGTTATGCTCAGTGACACAATGATTATATACGTAACTACTTCACATAACCCCACTTTAAAGAAACTTTAGTCTTACTTTAACTCTACCTAATGCCTCTTGTATTTGTTTCACTTTGTTCAATAAACAAAATGTTAACTGCATTTATATGTATATATACATGTAAGTATGGTGTTTCAACATCTTCTTTATGTGTTTTGTTTTGTGTGTGTTTCTTTGTCTTTTTGTGTGGTGAATCAGTCATTTAGCTCAAAACCCATTTATCTGTGACTGCCATCTGAAGTGGCTGGCTGACTACCTGCAGGACAATCCCATTGAGACGAGTGGTGCCCGCTGCACCAGCCCTCGGCGGCTCGCCAACAAGCGGATCGGACAAATCAAGAGCAAGAAGTTTCGCTGCTCAGGTACAAATCCCTGGCACAGCACAAATTGAATACTCATAGAAGAGATGAGCCCACGGACATGTTCCCTGAGGCTATTTCTTTCTGATAACCAAAAGATGGATGTCCAGACTTTCACACATAAAAAAATAAACCTAAGACCAACAGTCTTTCCCTCTGTTTTCATTCTGTGTATTCCTGCTGGGTTTTTCCCTCAGCCTTTCTCTACTAACCACACTTTCCCTACGTCTAATATTTTCAGTGCTCTTTTCAATGCCTCTACATGCACAAAGAGTCAGTTGTACACCATGAACCTTCTCTTCTATTCTGACTTTTTTTTTTTTTTTTTTTTGCTGATTTCGATTTTCCTGCTATCTGTCTCTCCATTAGCTAGAGAACAGTATATCATCCCAGGTATTGTACATGGAGCATGAGTGCTTGTTTTTTGTAACTATTTTCACTGCACACTCACCAAGTGCAGTTTGCCATGACTGACACCTTTTAAATCCATATCATCTCTTTGGATTGTTTACTAATAAAACACCATGTCTAACGAAGCACAGGATATCCATACTCATACACTTGCACTGGCTTTATGTTCACAACCGTGACCTCGTTTGAAAAAGGTTAATAGTTTGGTTTCTGATGTCCTGTTTGGGTTACAGTATAAAATCAAGTTTATATATACTCATGTTAGTGCATGTGAAAATTATTCCTTAACATTTAGCATTTATCATATTTTTTCACATTACGACAAAAAATTACATTGCATTTATTGGAATTCTGTGTGATAGACTGGCACATAGTATTGCATAATTGGCAAGTGGGAGGTGTATGAAAAGTGTGGCATGCATTTGTTTTTGGTAACCTTGTAATTCAAAACGACTATAAGTCCAGACAATCAAACTGCCTTCAGAAACCCACGCATTGTGAATACATTTAACCCCTGAGTGTTTTCATCTCAGCATCTGTACAACTGGGTCCTGGTCAGGGAAGCATTGCTTAAAAAAGTAAGAAAGTTATCACTGAGATAAAGCTACAGATTGATTATTAGCCATGTAGGGACACAGCACCCATTGAAGAAGTTCCTCTGGTCGCTTGAGACGAGGGGTCTCTTTGAAGAAGCAGGTTTAACAAACTCAGAATCAAATCCTCAACTCTAAATTGATCTAGCCTAAGGTCGGGAACTCTCAGTTTTTGGTTTTTCAAGGCTGCTGTGAATTAGTTCAATCAACTCTAAGTAAGTCCACTTAGAGTTCCTAGAGCTGAACAACTGCGTAGCAAGTGTGACAAGCCATTATCAGTGGAGCTCCGATTCGACAAGTCACCATAACAACAGGCAACAGGAAGTGCCTATTTCATCCTATTGAAACTAGAGATTTTAATGAAGAAATAAAAAAAAATGGAGAATGTGTTTAAAAGAGAGAGAGACAGCACTACAGAGGAATATGGCGAAGAAGACTGACCCTGTTAAAATAGGAATATGGGGATCTGAGATTGATTTCTCTAAATCCAGAAGGTTTACTCTAGATGTGAAGAATTTAATTTTTTTAATGGTCATTTTGACAAGGATTTTTTTCCCTAGATATTAGAAATACATATTCAGTAAAACTAATTCATATATAAAAAAAGACTTATCATGGGCTGTTGTGTACACAACAACATTACAGGTTTATTTCTTGAATGGTAGGGTATCAGGGTATGTATTTAGGTGAAATTGTTGGGCAGCAGGTGAAGATGAAGTCTACAAACATTGTTCTAACAGATAGGACCTGTGCATCGTCTCATGGGTGTCCTCCTTAGTTTTTAACCTGTCTGCCATCACACAGTAAATACTAAGTGGCTGTTTGTATCCGCTTTGGATGTTATCATCCCAATAAATGTGATTACTAGCTGGGAAGTAAAATGCACAAATCATGAAAATGCACTAATTGCGTCCTTTTGATCGTTGTTCAAAAAATAAATAGAAGACATTCGGCAAAAATGGCTGCAGTGCAGCCTTTTTTGTTTTGTTTCAGCTTGCTGCTGCTAGTTGACATCATACAGGTCACTGCATTTCATTGATCCAAAACATGAACTGTATGAAGGCTTGTGTGTCTATTTGCGTCTGACAGAATTTATTTTTGGAAGTTTGTGAAATCACAGATCTCAAAAAAATTCATCTTGCTTGCAAGGTAGCTCAAGATCTACTGTTAGATGCATCTAAAATCTGTTTGCAGATTTTTAATACATCCCTGCTGTAACACAGCTAATTTAAATGACCGAGTTCTCTTTTTAGCATGGCATCAAGTTTGGCAAAGGAGTGGCAACGGGCCATTAATTTCATTCATATGTTTTGGATCAAGGATGAATCTAAAACCTCCGAGACAGTAGATCTTGAAGACCAGTGTTGGGTTAAAGGGTAAATCAGTATGTTGTGAAGAGCTGTAAACTATCGTCAATGTCTTTTTTGTCCAGTTCTAACAATAACTGAGGATTTTGGGCGTGCTTGTGAGCATATGTGTATGTTTCTTACTCTGCAGAACATCAAAAGGTCACACAGTCACCATGCTCAGAGGGGTGTTGGGAAATATGCAAATTTGACTTGCATTTGAGATCAGTAGCAGGGCTAAAGGCGGTCATTACCACAGGGAAGCGTCAGGGTGTGTGCAGAGTAAGACACAGTCTGTGTGCGTGTGTGAGCGCGTGCTTATTGCAGTCATTAACTCCGAAGCTCACCAGGGGGACAGAGGTTTCAAAGCCTAGATAGCACATAGGGGGCAACGCTGAATAATTTAACAACATGTAGGGCTGTAAAGTTGAATAAACATACTCCGTTCTTTGGTGTAACCTTGCTGTTGCATCTCAGAGCAATGCATCTCAGATCCTCCAGTTTAATTTGCAATATGTTCATGGATTACAGGTGCTCTGCACTCACACCGGCCGGAGTTTAATGTTTGCACAGTTGGCTCCTTCTGGAGGTTATTTGTCCTTTCAATGTCACACTCTCACAGGAAAGGGTTTAAACCTGCCTTAAGTACGAGAAAATCTGGGAAGATGTGTGCATCCTGCATGACTCTCACAACTCATTACATGACTTTAAATCTCTCCCTGGAAGAGAGAACCCACACAATCTGGATTTTTTTTTTTTTTTTCTTTTTTCATTACCTTTTCTTACCCCTCTGCTTTAACAAATGAGTCAAATCCCTTCTTCTTTTTCCTAATGCCTTTCTAACACTCAGGAGTACACCATGTCAGCTGTAAGTAACAAAAACACATGACCATGTCCATCAACCTCCAACTCCCTCACCTCTTTTCCCAGAGATGACCTGCAACCTTTGACCCCTCTGAGACTCCTCCTGTCTGAATAATAAGATATAAATGATATTATATTTGTATGTCTCAGTGTTTGGGAATCAAGAGAGTTTCATGTATTCTACTCTTGTTTGTATCTGTATGATGGCATCAGTGAGTGTGTGTGGTACCCAGAAGTAATGGTTCTCTTGTATTGCTGCTGTAACTCTCCTCCCACTCCTATCTAATAACTGCTCTCTTCCTATTGTTTCTGAAATGTGGATGTCTGTAGATGCTTTACTGTTATACCCTCTCTGCTTTTTAATCAGGCTACTGTTCCTGAGCTTTTCACCATCCCTCTTCCTCTGTTTTATTTAATTTGTAGGTGTTTTGCTACAAATTAATACCTTAACCTTATTTCCTCCCAATATATTTGTGTCTCTCTATTGTTAATTATTTTGTAGATTACTAGCATTTCCTGTTTTTTTTCCTTCCCTTTGTGCTATTTTCCAAATTAACTTTTTCATTCTTTACCCTCTTTCCAACTTCCTTTACTTAGTCCCTCTTTTTGCTCACCCTCATTCTAGCCTTTCTCCAAAATATCGTGCCTTGAAAAAGTGTTAATACCCAGTGAACCTTTTCACATTTGTTCACTTTACAACATCAAACCTTCATGTTTTTTTTTAATAATTGATATATAAATACAATCAAAGCTTTAAGAAATATAGCTTTTACACATTTAACATATTTTATTTCTTAATTATTTACAAAATAGATCATGCTCAGTTCAATCCAATGAGGAGCTTATCTGCAGCTCATCCAGCGTTGCTTTTAAGATCTGGCTCCTTCTCTGATTATTGTCTCCTTTATTACACTGTCAGTTACCGTGCAAGGCCATGAACTGTTGGGTTTGAGGCTGCTTCTTTCTCAGGTAATGAGAACATTAGAATATGTTGAACAGCTGGATTATTACTGAGATGAAAAGACGCACAGCCCAAAGTTCACCTAAATGTTTTATTTTAAAAAAACGTTTTTATTATCTTCTAAATGTAGCTGTTACAAGACAAAATAAAAGTTAGGGTATATGAATACTTTTGCAAGGCACTGAATATTCCAGTTTCTTTTCATCTGTTTAAAATCCTACCTACTTCATCTCCGTTCCTTCTTCCCACAGTCAGAAGTTTTGCAAATCCGCAGAGAAAATCCCCTCTACTGTCTGTATGATCCTCTCTCCCGCTCATCTGACCCTTCCTCTCCCTCTTACCCTCCGCCCCTGTGTTCCAGTGGAGGAGCAGTCAGTCGGCAGGTTGTTCCTTTGTGCTTGATCTAACCATGTGGCTGCAAGGTTCCAAAAGTGGAACATGGTTCTGTCAAGCACCATGGAACGGCGCTGCAAATCCCTGCAGCATGGCCGAGACGCAAGAGAAACCAAACTCCTGTCACTCCCTGCCTGTGTGTTTGAGCATGTGGTGTTTGGGTTTTGTCAGTGATCTCATTTTTGATACTGTTTGGTCTAGTTTATAATACTAACATTGGGATTTATACCTGGAAAGAAAGAAAGCCTCTAATCTCTTTTCTCCTGTGGGTGCAAGTGTGTCTGTATCCTTATATGTGTCCTTATGTCCTTACATGTGTATTACCTCTGCTTTATGTCAGTGATACGCTAAGAAAATGCTTGTGTATCACACTGTAAATGATTTGCTTCTCGCCAAGCTAAGAAACAAAACAAAACAAAAAAACAATTAGATATAGAATTTTATTGTTAATTCAAGAAATCTAGTCAAGTGAATTTAGGTTGGTTAACTCAAAACATCTACATTTATCTGTCCGTTAAACTTTAACGGACAGATAAATGTAGATGTTTTGAGTATTTTCCTCCTTGGATTTCTTTTTTTATCTTTGTTTCAGACACCCTATTTGTTTAAAGTACACAGATGCATAGAAATTACTTATGATCAGTGTTTTATCTTTTTTTTTTTGGCCATATTTAGTTTCTTTTGACAGTTTCTACTATGCGAAAAGGAGCTCAGCTCTTTGTACCACACCCTGAACCTTGGATATGCACATGGTTACTGATGGAAACCTATCTAGGTTTTCTTACCACAGCAATATTGTTCATTAACATCTTAGCTGTGATTGTGAACAGGTAACGAGGATTACCGCAGCAAGCTCGGAGGTGATTGCTTCGCCGACCTGGCCTGCCCAGAGAAATGCCGTTGTGAGGGCACGACTGTCGACTGCTCTAACCAGAAACTTACCAAAATCCCAGATCACATTCCTCAGTACACCACTGAGCTGTGAGTCACCCTTTGTTTCTTGACTACAGTTGGATTTATAAGAGAAACCTCATGTCAGTCTCTACCCCCTCTTATTTGCCTTATACTCATTATTCTTGGATTTTACCTCATGTGTTTCCAGGCGTCTGAACAACAATGAGTTCACGGTGCTTGAGGCGACGGGAATCTTCAAAAAGTTGCCTCAGTTGAGGAAGATGTGAGTCAGTCTTGTTAATGTGATTAGAAAAAAAAAGTGTTACTAAGCGATGTCATAAAATCAAGTTTGGATCCAGATGAAAAAAAACGACGACTATAAAGTCGTCGTCTTTCCATTGCATTTCTACTGCCTCACCTCTCTCTCTGTTCTGTACTTCCCCCTGCAGTAATCTGAGTAATAATCGTATCAGTGACATCGAGGAGGGGACTTTTGAAGGAGCTTCAGGGGTCAACGAGTTGATTTTGACCTCTAACAGACTAGAGAACATACACCACCGCATGCTGAAGGGACTCAGCGGTCTCCGTACTCTGTGGGTTCATACACACACATAGATAAACTTAACATTGCAACCACAAAATTTGATCCAATTTAGCCGAAATGTGTTGTGATAGACCAACATAAAGCATTGCACTATTCTAAAGTGTGGAAAAAAGCATAATTTACTCAAATACCAATAAATAAAATCCATCACTTTTGAGTGCATTATAAAGTCTACTAATTAATCATTATTGCTTTTCTTTGTATAATTTGACCTCCGCATAAGTCCTATACTGTTCTATAAATCCATTCGTGGTCTTTTAGAGAACCATAGAGAACCAACTGTGAAGTATCATGAGAACTATGGGAACACAACAGACAGGTCTGACACTTTGAAAGTCTCACAGTGCTTAAAATATCAATTCATCCATAAATGGAAAGCAGATGTTACAACTGTAAAAAAACGAAAACATGATCATCCAGGGAAAATGACATACCTGTACTGGGTAAGGAAAGCATTAATCAGAGAATCAGTCAAGAGCTTTGTTATAATTCTTGGCGGAGCTGCAGAGACAGACAGCTCAGGAGGGATTGGCTGCTGACAGGATTGTTACTTGTGAACTGTAAATTTGAGTGTTACAGCAGCAAAAAATTATAGCAAAAGTAATCACACAAATGAGGACCTTAAAAAGTGTATAAAAATAACAGAATAAGTGACAGAGTTAAGCAAATAGACAAATAAACTACCTAACTGTACCATTATTGTTTTCTTATTGTAAGCGAATGCATATAAGAAACAGCTCCATAATGTTTGGAAAGCGTTATTAATTCCACTCCACAATCCTGTAGCTACTATATACAGTATGCTGTCACGGTCTATCACATCAAATGCAAATAAAATAGCTTTAATTTATATCATTATTTTAACATAAAGAAATTTTGAAAAAGTTTCCACTCAGTGCTATTATCAGACCAAATACACACTCTTTGAATTTTGCTTGAAGTGTATTATATATTAATGTATTTATTTGTGTTCATAGTATGCTGAGGAGTAACAAGATCAGCTGTGTGAGCAACAGCAGCTTCGTGGGGCTCAGTTCTGTACGGCTCCTTTCACTGTACGACAACCAGATCACCTCCATGAGCCCCGGAGCCTTCGACACACTGCACTCACTCTCCACACTGTGAGCTTACGTCACTCTATGAAACCATCAGGCTTGTGCTCAGTAGCTTTAGCTCAGAGTAAATCTTTGCTTGTTCCATTTGATCTCCAGAAACCTCTTGGCCAATCCTTTTAACTGTAACTGCCACCTGGCCTGGCTCGGTGATTGGCTGAGAAGGAAACGCATCGTCACAGGGAATCCTCGCTGCCAGAATCCTTATTTCCTAAAGGAGATTCCCATCCAGGATGTAGCTGTTCAGGACTTTGCCTGTGAAGATGGTGAGTTAGAGCTGCTGCAGTTATCTGTTCTTAACTAGCACTTTGTCTTCACTCCTATTGTTTTCCTCAATGTATGCAACAGGTAACAATGAGAACAGCTGCTCTCCTGTTCTGAGGTGTCCAGCCGAGTGCTCTTGCCTGGACACTGTGGTGCGCTGCAGCAACAAAGGTCTCACAACTCTGCCCAAAGGTGTCCCAAAAGAAACCACTGAACTGTGAGTTCCTGTCTTACAAACTATTACACAATTTAAACTGTAAAAAAAAGTACAGGTATTTGCAAATATCCATCCACCCATTGCTTATGTGTGTTTGTTTGGGTGTGTGAATATAGATTTAAAAACTTCAGAATTTATCAAACGTATTACTCATTTTCTGTTTTGTATAAATATGACATCCAAGAAGGAAACACTGATGTAACATAAATTTAATTTGATTTGAAACATAAATCGACGAATCTGGATTAGAAAAGAACTCAGTTTCAAACTGCAAATCAGTTATACAGGTAAAAGCCAGCAAATTAGAATATTTTGAAAAACTTGATTTATTTCAGTAATTGCATTCAAAAGGTGTAACTTGTACATTACATGTATTCATTGCACACAGACTGATGCATTCAAATGTTTATTTCATTTAATTTTGATGATTTGAAGTGGCAACAAATGAAAATCCAAAATTCCGTGTGTCACAAAATTAGAATATTACTTAAAGCTAATACAAAAAGGGGATTTTTTAGAAATGTTGGCCAACTGAAAAGCATGAAAA